GATGTCTGCCTCTCAACTCCAATTTTTTCGGACAACAATAATACCAGCTTCCTCCCGTATCCAACAATTTCACCATAATTGCAAAATCAGTACCTGGCGGGCCCGGGGGTTATCCAAATTTGAAAAAAATTTGAAATTTCACAAATTTTTGATGAAAAAATTATTTTTTTATGGACACTCTTATCCTTAAAGTTTTACTTTACAGAAAAATCGTCCATTTTTTCCACTGACCTTAAAATTTTTTTGAAAAGACTGGAAATTCTTTTCTGAAAACCGGGACCGGGCCTTGAAAAATTTTTTTAAAAGCTCGGCCCGTTGCATGTAAGTTTCTTACCTTCAACACCGGACGCAAACATTTATTCTGTGCCTCGACTTTCATTGCATACGGAATTCCGTTCTCCTCCACCAGAAATACCGAAGAAAATGGGCCAGTAGCGATGGCCGAGCTCATTGTGTACTCATGATCTCCCAGTCGGATCCGGCGACCGATCTGAATTTTCAGATTTTGATATATTTTGCACTGGGCGCCTTTTAAGCAAGGTGTTACAGTATACCGTTCTTCTCGGTTTCATATATTTTCAATGATCAACTAGCAAATCTTACATATATTATCTGTTCCATTTCATTAGGTCATAAATTAGAATCTCAACCAAAATCTTACATTTAAAGTCAATTAAAAACTTACCAATGGCAAAAGAACATCATTCGTCGTATGCTGAATTCGATGTGGTGAGAAGACCATTTTGCGTTTTTTGGTTCCAAAAGAAAAACAACGGAGAAGAATGAGTTGGCTTTGAAATGGAGAGTGACAAGAAGAGAGACTAATTTGACTATTCGAGTGGTGATGATGGTGAATTTGTTTGGGAATGCGAAGTTTTCAATAACTTTTTTGATAGGACATTTTGAAAAAAAAAATAATATGGCAAACGTGAAATATGGTGGAAAGGATGTGACGGAGGCTAAATAGAATTCTTTTAGAAAGTTAGCGTTTCTAATTGGGTCAGATTTCTGATGTTGACATAAAACTGTTTTCATATCCACTATTTCATGGAGTTTAGATACAAATATTTTTCTTTTATCGCTCAGTAAGCTTCTATTATGCTTGTCTGAAAAAATGAAGGTTGAGACGCTGAGAAAAAAGTCTGCGTCTCCACCTAATATGTGCTCTCCGCTTCGATATCGCTACCGTATTTAGACTGCAAAAAATACTCTCTAACCTTTTTTTTCCGTGATTTCACGGAAGACGGAAGACGGAACAAACTCTATAACTGGTGAATGAAGCAATTTTGACGGAAGTTTCAGAGAATGAAGCAATTTTGACGGAAGTTTCGAATTATTACTCGCTGTTAAACTAGTTATAATAATTGTAAAATACTAGTTTGAGAAACTTATGGTAATTTTTTAAAACGCCAAAAACCGGGATTTCCGTAGTTTTCTTCCGCTCAACTCTGCTAATTAGGTCAAATCCACGTCAACTTGGAAATTTTTAAATTCCTTCTGACCTGAAAGTTATTTGGGGCGCGTTTTTTGACCCGTTGACTTGAACCCAAGTGGATGCGTAATAAATTGAATTGAATTGAAAAAAAACATTTTTTCAACATTCTCTGTTTCATCGAGTTTTTAGAAAAGGCTTAATATTTCATATTCCATTCTTGCATAGGAAACCAGTTCCTTGAAAAATTAGTATCTCCATTTCTCACTAGTTGTAAAAGAAAATACAATTAATCTGAAAAAAACGATCAAACACTAATAACAGCAACATCTGTGAAAGTGAAAAAAACAGCAACAATGTAATTGCATTTTTTGCGGGAATCAAACATGCAACAACTACAAAACACTAAATTTCAGAATACTTTGAGAGCAATGAAACATGTTTTCAAACTTGCAACAATGTGTGATTCATTTTTCAAAAAATGGGTATAACTTTTTCGGAGGAATTGGGAATTTTTGAAATTCCCAATTCCTCAAGCATAAACAAAAATTCCAAAGTATCATCTGAAAAACATGCACCACTCATATAAAAACGTCCCAAAAATCAATATTTTTTCAGAGAGATCTTTTTAAATGAAACATTTCGATAAGTCACATCAAATGAACATTTCCTGAATCCGCTCTTTCCAGAAGAAACAATTCGAGTTCCGAACTTAAACCCCGTTTTTTTCTGCTGAATTCGAAAGGAAAAAATACTTTCTCAATTTCAAGAACAAATAATAAATATATTTTCAAAACTATTCGACAGAGTTTTTTTAGTTCAACAATGGTTTTTTTGTGAATGCTATTCCAATTTTTTATTAGGAAATTAGAAAATTCGATATTCCGTTTCAATGGTTTTTCACCAAAAAAAGTTTGATAATTTCAGAAAAAATACTGTTACACTTATGCTATTTCAATTTTATGAAGTCAATACTTTGCTTGTACTGGGAAGTCTTCGTCCAGTTTTTTGAGTTTAAAAATTCGAATTTAAAATTAGTTTCTTTTTCCGATCTAAAATTATCAATCGCTTCATGAGAACTTCAAAATGTCAAGTGTTCAATGAAACATTTCATGTTCTTCCTGGATAAGTTCTTTTCCTTGGAAACCAGGTGCAATTTAAAAATTTCCATCTCAATTTTCAGACTCCTCTCTATTTTTTGTCCCAAAGTTCAGCATCTCCCCGAAATATTTGTCCCGCAATAAATAATTGTCCGTTTTCTTCTAGAAATTCACTTCAACCTCGGCTCCAACTTCTCTCAAATCTAATCACACGTTATGCTCAATGGCTAGGCACCGAAATTTTTTCTCTGATTCATTTTTTTCATATCTTGTTGTTTATCGGAAATTGGTGCGAAAACATTTCAATGTCGAAAATTCTGGGAAACTCTTTCTCTTTTTCCAATCCAATCCAATTTCCGGGTGTTGCACCCAGAATTGGTTGGCTTAGTGGATGTTTAGAGACATTTTGAGAGGATTGGGAAGAAGGAAAAGAGTTTCTAGCAATTATTCCAGTTTTTCAAAAACAGACAAAATGTTTCAGTTTCAAGATTACTGTATCCATTTTGAATTTTTTTATTCGGAATCCGTCATAACGGTAAATATGTAATCAATTAAAATCTCCAATGAAAAATCAAACATTTTTGTTATTCCATTCATTCACAACATCCAATTAAAAAATTCAATTTTCTAAGAGAACTTATTTTCAGAACAAGTCAATTTTTTTCCAATTTATTTTCTCAGTTGCCGATGGCAACCATCTTCTAATCGAATTCAAATCACACCTGGCACCCACTCTTTCTTTTCAGTTCTTGCTCACTTTAGGCTCCGCCCACTTTTTTCAGCATTAATCATATTTGATTTTCTAGGGTTTTTTTACTTGCTAGATTTTCACTTGTTTTTCGGAAAGGGTTGATTTTTTGAAAATTTTTTTTATTCGAATTGAACCTTGTTGTGGAATACACCAAAAGTATTGAAAATCATCAAATGTACAAAATGAAACAGAACAATTATTGCTGATTCGCTTGACTAGTTTTGATGGCTCAAAAAGTTTGAATTTCGTTAACTGTCAAGCTTAAATTCTAGTTATAGTGATTTTTCGAAAATAAGTAATATGAACATTTTAGCTTCCGTTATTTCATTTGTATTCGAAACTGTAATTTTGTCCTGTAACCTTTCGCTAGAAAGTAAACCTTTTCAGAAATCAGATATGAGATTTGTCGGATTTTTTTGGATTTTTTCTGACATACATTACCGGACATACAAAAACATATTTTTCAGTTGATTTTCGGCCGTTTTGACCATTTGCAGGGGTCTGGAGCTCGCTTGTCAAGTTTACGAACACTTTTCAAAATTTTGAAAGATATAAAAATGACCTAGATTGGAAACTTCGCATTCACAGAACTTTTCGAAAATTCCTAGTTTTTCAGCTATTTGCCGATATCTGAAAGACGCCGGTTTTTATCGTTTAAAGTAGAAAAACGCGCAAGAAGGGCGTTATTTTAGAAATCGGGAAATAGCTGAAAAACTAGGAATTTTCAAAAATTGCTGTGAATGCAAAGTTTTCAATCTAGGTCTATTTTACACCATCGAAATTTTTAAAAAGGATCGGAAACTTGACAGGCGAGCTCCAGACTTCTGAATTATTTCCTGTTTCATTTTGTTTATTTCATGATTTTCTGTGTTTTTACTAGGTTCGGAAGTGCTATTTACTGTGTTTCTTTTCTTTGGAATGAATTTTTTAACAGAAAAACACAACCATGTCTCACGAAACGAATGATGTCGTCATCATTAGGATTCGAATTTCGCTTGAAGTACTGGAAGAGAAATGTCTATTTCTAAAATTCCCTGACTTTTTAACCTGTTTCAAACTCTTCATATTTTAGTTACAAGGATTTCCACAACGATAATCTTGCCTGATGCGGTTGCTAATTTTTAAAATCTACTATTTTCTCAAATGCTCAAATTTTCAATAAATCAAAATCTGACTAGTTCCCTATCTCCAAATCAAACTTCATGAGCATTGATTTGCTCCAATGAGTGCGAAAATGACGCATGCTCATTCTAGCATAAAAATTAAAAAGAAAAAATTGAACAGCTGAATTTTTCAGAAGACTAGAAAAATTTCAGAACGAGACAGCTGAAAATCAGCTTCGCTTTTTAGGTTTCCCACGTCAAGCCATACCTAGAAGGACGTGTAGGAGTCGAGTGGGATAGGATTCTTGGAAACAAAATTACTTTCTTATCGCAAAATGCAAATTACCGTTTCTCTGTTGTCATAAAGTCTAAGCTTTGTTTTTGAACATTAGTACTATATCAACTTCTTTTCCATTATTCCAAAACATCAATTCCACAGATGCTGATCCAAATTCACAATCCTGGGAAATCAAAACTCAACAGGAAATTGAAAAAAACGTCGAATCCAGAACTCCTCCTCAATTTTCCCATAATCCCATGATAAAGAATCACTTGACACCTGAGAATTTTCCCATCTACATCTGAATTCTGATTCCAGATCACGTCATCTGTTTTCCCCAGCTTCTCTTTGGTTACCACTTGCTGACCATTCATTTTCTATAACCTAGTATTTTTTTCTTGTTGTGTACACCTTGTTTTCTTGTTGTTATTGAGTTTAGGACATCCATTTCGAACGGCTGGGTCGGCGGTCGGTCGGTCGGTCGGCTACATTTCCCAATCGAATGGCAGCCTTATATAAGCTTTAAAATAATAGTTCCAGACAAAAAAATTTCAGAATGGCAATGTCGAGTTTGCTGACCTCGACAGTCATGTCTCTCTTGGAAAATGATTCCGACGACGGTTTCGGCGAGGCGACAACGAGAAGATCAACATCGAGGGTGTATCCATTATGTACTGAATTCTTTTGTGGTTAGTTTGAAAATGTGATTGATGAGCATGAGCCTTTCAAAGTAAAAAAAAAGTAAATCTCACAAAGGGGGAAATTTGAAACAGCAAAGTTTTCAATTGAAAATCGCTAACTGTCAGGTTTCTTTGGAAATTTTCATTATTTCTCGTGATAGCTGTTCAAAACGAATTGAATAGTCAAACAATTGGCAAAGTAAACAACCTGAAACCGGCAAAAAATAATCTAGAAAAAACACATTTCAGATTTCCATGCAGACTGGATAACACTGTTGAAAAAGCTCTTCTTTAAACGAAGTAAGATGATAGAAAAAAGAGCATACAACAGTTTTATCCTTATAAATTTAAATTAAAGGGAAAAAAAGATATAAAACCACATGGAGAGAAATCAACGTACGACCTACAAAACTGACAAGGGAGTTACTTGAGAGGGCGGGTTTAACTTTTTTTGAAATTTTAGGAGCAGATAGAAAAGCTTATGAGGATTTCAAATCTGTTAAAAAATCAGCAAAATGCTCACGTGAGATGAGTGGCCTATAAAAGACCTATAAATGACCTATAAAAGTTTCCCTATAATTAAGCAATTTCTCGTGAAATTTTTTTCACGGAATAGTGTATTTTTTTGAAAACAATAGATTTCAATCAGCAGTGTGGTAAAGTGGTAAAATGGCAAGTTCAGAGGAGGAAGGTTGTAGGTTCGATTCTCCCGATCCCAAAAATTTTGCAAACTTTTTTTGTATCATTTTAAGCTGTCATAACTGGCTCTGGAATAAAATTTACGCAATTTAAACATGTTTTTCGGGAGTTTCTCGTTATGAATAGGCATTTTCCAGAATAAAAACAGACATTTAATTTTTAAAGAAATTCACAAATATGCTCATGGGTTCATTGAAGATTTTTCAAAAAATTTTTTTCAAAATTTTTTTTTGTTTTTTTATTGAGAAAAACAGTTGAGGATTCTAAAAAGATCGGTGGCATTCGATCGGAGCATCGGAAGAACTGTGTAGCTGTGAGTGATTCCAGTAGCTAAACTTGTCACGATCTCGATAGTCTCTGTACCTATTTTGAAATATGTTTGTAAGTTTTTTGAGGGGAGATATACCTGTCTCCGTCAATGTTCTCTTGGTGAAAATTTCCTTCTGAAAACCTGATTGATCGAGATTGTAACTCATCTAACATTATGTCATGCTTGAGGTCAACAAAAAAACAAAAAAATTTCAAAAAAATTTTTTGAAAAACCTTCGATGAACCCATGAGCATATTTGTGAATTTCTTCAAAATTTAAATGTCTGTTTTTATTCTGTAAAATGTCTATTCATAACGAGAAACTCCCGAAAAACATGTTTAAATTGCGTAAGTTTTATTCCAGAGTCAGTTATGGCAGCTTAAAATAAAACAAAAAAATTTTGCAAAGTTTTTGGGATCGTGAGAATCGAACCTACAACCTTCCTCCTCTGAACTTGCCATTTTACCACTTTACTACACTGCTGATTGAAATCTATTGTTTTAAAAGAAATACACTATTCCGTGAGAAAAATTTCACGAGAAATTGCTTAATTATAGGGAAACTTTTATAGGTCATAACTCATCTCACGTGAGCATTGTGCTGATTTTTTAACAGATTTGGAATCCTCATAAGCTCTTCTATCTGCTCCCAAAATTTCTAAAAAAGTTAAACCCGCCCCCTCATGTAACTCCCTTGTCAGATATATTATCACTTTCCTAAAACAGAAATATTTTTTTCCAGATCAATACTTCTCTGCACAAAAAATCATATCTCTTGCAATGATGCTCGGACGAGTCGCAATCGCATTTTTGATAATGCTTTTGGGTTTGAAAATGGAAAAGGACTACATGAGAAGCATCACAAATACCATATTCATTCCAATCGCTGTGTCCGAACTGTTCACAATCTACATTGAAATCGCATTTTTCCAGGACATGTTCAGCCAGTCGCCCACACAATCTACCGATTTCAAAGCGTTAGTTTTTTTTACTGTTACATAAGATTTATGTAATGTATCACCTTTTTTTTACTGCCAATAGACTTTTAATCTTAAGGTCAGGGGTTCGAGTCCCCTAGGTGGCTTGACATTTTTTTTTGTAATTTTATAATCTTTTTTTCAGGACCTACATCAATTGGACTACTGATTTCGTTCAAATTATCAATGACTATGTGTCCATTAATACCGTAGTTTGTTGCCATTACTACTGTATTGCGGGCGTGTTGCAACTTTACCAGGAGATCGGATTAATGCATTTCCAACCAAGTTAGTATGTTTGAACATGGCAACACAACCCCAATAACTATTAAATGTTTGCAAAAATTTGTAAAGCATTTGAAACAGATTTTTTTATTCTCAAACTTTCAGCATGATCTGTCTCATAATGCAAATCGTCCCATTTTTCGTTTGTATCTTGAACTACGTGGAAAGACTGAATACAGCTGTGGTTCTGAAAGTTCTTGCGGCCACTTCCAGAATAATTACCATCATTTGCTTCGTTGCAATTTTCGTTTTGATTTTTGTGGTGAGTACAGTAGTACTGTTACAGTATCAGACAAGAGGTGTCATCTTTTCAGTCAAGAAGAGAATTCACTCTGAGCTCAATTATCTCGGTTCCTTTAAGAGATATTGAAAATCTACCCACTGATAAAATATTTTTCTTAAAATTGCCAACATGTTATTAATTGACAACTTCTTTATATCTTTGACAAGAACCAAGATAATTGAGCTCAAAAGGCAAGGGGTGCATTACAAGGTGATACGGTACTTTGTTAAAGTTCATGTGATTTATCTTGACATTTGGATCAAAATGTGCCAAAAAATTTATAGATTATTAAAATGGTAATTTGGTTTCAGCTCGTTTTTCTCGGAAAGTTTCAGACTGATAGAACAAGAAATAACAATTTTTGAAACTCACGAATTTTTATGGTTTCAACTAACAATTTTGAAAACTGAAACCTTTCTGAGCAATGCTAATGAGTTGACTAAATTTTATTCTAATTTATTCAACTTCCTGTGCAAGACATCAAAAAGTTTTCAACTAACAAAATGTTTATTTATTTATTTATTTATTTATTTACGATTGCAAGAATCGTGGAAAGAAAGGAAAAACACATTAAAATACATGATAATCAGATTCCAAATGGATAAATAATGAACTCTAGTGAGACGAAATGTAAAATAATAGAATGAACTAGAACTAGAGTGACCATTAAAAAGAAATAGGGAGAGGAGAATAAGACATGTCTAGCATAAATGAACATAGAATAATACATAGAATAGAGGACAGAGAGTAGGGCCAGAAAAGTGAGCAATTGTTCAGCAGTAACTAAATCATTTTACTAAGCGCCCTATTGACGAAAAAGTGTTGCCTAATTTTTGTTTTAGCTCTTTTCCATTTGTATCTTGATTTTGATCTTGTTCGATTATTTGTGGACACTTGGAAAAAGTCAGTCTGGTTTAGACCCACTTTTCCTAAAATTATTTTAGATATCAGTTTTTTATCAATTGTTTGTCGTCTGTGTTCCAGAGAGGAGAGACCATAAAGGAGGTTACGTTCACTAGCATTCATGTAATCTGAGTCTTGTGGAGTAATATGTCTGCCTACATTCCTACTATAAAGCCTTCTTGTGAAGGAATTCTGGATAGATTCGATATTTCTTTGTTCTTTTTTGTTGGGGGGATAACGCAATTAATTACGTGTGAATTTTTACTAAATTTTGATTGGGAATCACGTGTTTCTCAAGGGATCATCACCTNGGAAAAACCAAAGAATTGGGTCCTGATCGATTTTTTTAAATCTATAATTCGTTTTTTCGAATGATATCAAGTATATTTTGTCTGTTGAACAGAGGCTGATCAGGACCCAATTCTTTGGTTTTTCCAGGTGATGATCCCTTGGGAAACACGTGATTCCCAATCAAAATTTTTATGCCTCTCACCGTAACCTAGATAAATAGCGTCAAATTCGAAAGTATGGGGGCTCTTCTATTACAGGTTTCACGGTAGTCTAAATAACTAAAAGACCATGTGGAAAAGTAGTATCCCGATTTCCCAATGAATCTAGTCTAAATTTCCCAATGAATCTAGTTTTTGATTCCAAATATCTAAAATATGACACAGGAACATTTTCCTTCACCAAATTTCAATTTCGCTCCCATTCTGTGGGACGAGAATCCCCAAATCTGAGATAGTCCTAGTCTAACAGCGTCAAAGTTGGAAGCATGGGGGCCCTTATATTACAGGTTTCTCTGAAGGAATAATTTGGGGTGGTAATAATCAACATCCCGGATCACAACGTTACAACAAAACTAGCCGAATTCATACTTGTGAAATTCCGGGCCGGCCCGCCAAAGCCCGGGCCCGGCCGGAAGGCCCGGTATCAAAAATTTGGTGATTTTGAGCTCTCAATACAATTTTCTCCATGCTTTTGCTTTTTTGGATTGTTTGTCCGTTTGATTTTAAAAAATCCAAAAAACTCGGAAAAATGTTTTGATCGTAAAAAATCACATTAGGGTCCCCTTACGTGTTTTTTGGATTTTATGACACTTGTGGAATGGCGGTGGTACAAANGGTGACAACTTTTTACGTGAGAACTACTACAAATGATAACTCACTTTAACGGCTCTAACTTCCGGCTCAGGATCCAACTTTTTTTTTTAAATAGTTNCGAAATTGTCTCGCTCTTCACAATACTTCAAGATTTTCAAAAAAAAATCCGTGTTTAGACCTGTATTTTACGAGTTCTTATTCGTACGAGTTATCATTTGTAGTAGTTTTCACGCGAAAAGTTCTCCCCATTTGTACCACCGAAATGGCGGGCCGGGCTCGGGCCGGGCCTCCGAAATTTGGGAAAAAGCCCGGCCGGGCCCGGCATGGCCGAAATATTCAATTCTCTATAAAATTTCTGAAACAGGAAGAATTAAGGGAATCTTGCCCATCAGTTTGCCCACTGAAAAACTATCTAAATTTCCCTTATCTTTCAGTCAATCGTCGTTGTATTGCGCGAGCTTCCGGACGAGGCAGCAACTTCAGTGGATATGCAGATTCGTGATGCTCGAAGTCGTTTGGCTTGGACTCTGATTTATATTATAATCCCATTCATCACATTGGTCCCATTTGTGATTGAAGGAATTTACTACATCTTTCACATTCAGCCAGAAGCAAATAGTTTTGGCAAAATGGTAAGTTACTGTTACAAGGACTAATTATTAGTTAAAGCGAATTTTCGAATGTGATTCTTCGCAGGTTACACACGACATATTATTAGGGTTGAAAAATCGGAGCAGTGGAAGAGAAAAGCCGGTGGCCATCACCAAAGGTCCCACAACGACAACTACCATAATTTAAGAAAAGGCATAAAAATCGTGTGTTTTCGGTCAATTTTCTCCTACTTGTTGGGGGAAAATGTGTAAGCTCAACGAAGAAATCTAGCTAATAAATCCGGAAAAGGAAAATATTTTTAGGTTACGGTAGTTGCCGTTGTGGGACCTCCGGCCACGGCCGCCGGCGGTTATCTTTCACATCTCCGATTTTTCTGACTGACTGAAAACGTATTACTCCGCAAAAATTCGAAAGTGAGCGGAGCTTAGGTCCGGTAGCGAAATCCTTGAAGACGTTTATTTTTCAAAGTAATTTATTCCTGACCTATTTTTGCGATGAATTTCATCATTTTTTGAACTTTTCTCAAAACAAAAATCCGATGAATAGCAAAAAAAACTGTAAGAAAACAGTGAAATTAACGAGAAACTGATGAAATTCATCGAAACAACGAAAAAATATCAGACCTACCCACAAAACTCCGCCCACCCGATTATGCAACCGAAACGCGCAATGAAACTAGACCAACCGAAAATACGAAAGCCGAGAAAAAACAATAATTTTTAGGTTACTGTAGTTTTCGATAGGCGTAATCTAAACAATTCCAGGTGGCTCTAATCTGCGAAATCCTCATCATAATGGTGAATTTCTATCGTCCCACATGGATGGTCGTCATCACAATGATCTTCCTTCCACCGTATCGTCGTGCTGTTCCCCTTCTATTCTGTTGCTGCTCATGCTGCCCAAAAGTCAATGTGGAACCACTTCCACGTAAGGAAAACGAGTCGAGTCTTATGTATCGATATGCCGATTTGTGAGAGGGGTCTGGTCGAAAAGAATACGTTGTCATCTCCGGTTATTCAATGCACATTTTTGTGTGCTATGTTTCCATGTGAAATAAAGTTGTTTTCTAAGAACCTAGTTCTATGAATTGAGGCTTCTATTCTTTCGGGAAATTCGGCCGACCAAAAAAAAATTGCGCGTCAACATGCCGGAGTGTATGCGTAGAATTTTTGGATTCATGAATCACAAAACGTACGCAAACACTCTCGGGTATGTTGACGCGCTGATACACGATATCGTTCGGCGGTCACAGAATTTCGGCCGACCAAAACGAAATCCTCACTATGAATAAGGCGACAGCAAATTTAAGAAAAAACAACAAATTTAGCAATAACAGGGAGCAACAAGATTGGGTGGGTAAAAAATGTCAAAACACAAAAATCAATATTTCGCCGCACGATTTGCTTGTCTGGCAGATTTGCGTGGCGCCTGGGTCTCATCCGGATCCAACTCCTGTTTGACGATCTCTCGCTTGATCGCACGTGGCTTGAAATCAACCTTGGCGGCAGTGATCAACGGGGAATCTTGAATTGGAGCCTCAGCGGCACGGAACGATGGATTTCTGAGAAAAGAAAACATTTGAAAATCGGCGTTCGCCGACGGAATTCGAGTAAATGTCAACATGTCGGAGAGCGTTTGCGTACGCTGCATTTCATTTTACGACACATTTTTTGAATTTTGAAGTCACAAAATGCTGCATACGCAAACACTTTCTGGCGCGTTGACGCGCAAATGCACGAATTCCATCGGTAGGCGATGGCTAATTTTTGGCTGAAAATCCAAAATACCTCTGATAATTCTCCTGGAACTCGTTCAACAGCTCGTCAAGACCATCGGCATGTCTGCGCTGCTTGTCACTGCAAAATTTCCACATTTCGATTGAATTTTCAAAAAATCAAGGTCAAATTACATGAAATTTCTGGTGATGCCACGAATTTTACCAATCAGCTGAATGAGTTCTTGCGAGCTATCAGCCAATCCGAAGCCAGTGGTCAGCACATCTGAAAAATCGATAATTTTTGAAAATTTCCATCAATTAACTAACGAGCAAAAGTGCAGAAGAACTCGTTTGGAATCGTCGGATAAGTCGTTTTTTTGTTAGTGACTGGAACCGAATAGATGAAGAAGTATGGGTCGCGAGATTGGATCTCTTTCAGAATTGAGATTACTGCATTAGTGATGGTCATTTTGCCGGTCCACTGGGCACACATGCTTGGATTGATTAGCATTGAAAGAATAATTCTCTTGTCTCCTGGCAGAAATCCCTCTTGATCGACCTCTTGAGCCGCTTCCAAATCGAATTCCGAAGCGTATCGAGGAGCTACACGTCGCGCCGCCGCCACAGCTTCTATTTCTCTTTTTCTGTCGGCTTTGAGAGTTTCATTTAACTTGTACAGTGTCATCGAAATCGCGACAGTCAATGGTGTATTTTCATAGTTTAGAATGTCCAGATAATCGATTTCTTCGACTGATTTCATTGCGGTTTCGAGATTTCTCTGCAAGAAAAATAATGGAAGGAATGATAGGCGTTTTTTGAGGAATTTTACATCGCAAACGTCTCTTGGAAGCAGTTCGCCGGTGGTTTCATCGAAACAACACATTTGCATAAATTCCGACGGCTTTACAGGGTTAGTAACATTGAATCTATTCGCTGGGCGGCGAGGCATTTTGATCTGAAAATTTATTTGAAATTTTTCAGCGAAAAAATGTATGAAAAAGGCATAAATTCGCAGTAAAAGTCTTTGAAAACTGCTGAAGAGTCTTTTTTGAAGTGAAAAAGCATTAAAATCGTCTTTTTTTCGCTGAAAGTATGCGATGAAAATTACTGAAAACAATAGCAAAAATAGCAAAAAAATTGTTTGCTGGCGGTTTCGTCGCGAGACCCGCTTGCTTTGAACAATGTTCCTTTAAAGTGTTACTGTAATTTTTTGATTTTTTCAGGTATTTTTCTCTTAAAAACGTCTTGAAATTCTGTGAATAAACTCATAGAAAATCAATTTATAAGACTCCAAGCGAAAGTTTTACATAAATACATTTCAAATTATTCAAATTCAAAAATTAGCGGATACAAACAAAATCAGGGGGAAAGACAAAGTACCGGGTTTTCAGAAGAGAGAGAGTTTGGTTTTTTAATTGTTGAAAGGGTTGCGAATCAATTGAGTGACTTAAGTATCACAATGAGAATGGCAAGTAGAAAATGGGAAAATGAGAAGATTGTCGAGGATGCGTTGATCGTTGAGCCATTGCAGAGCGATCCACGACATGAGCAGACACTGAAAAAAAGTTTTTTCTTGAAATATTTCTTGCGAGTCGATAAATAATTCGGGAGATAGCAAACTACCTACTGGTTCCAAAAAATATTGATGGCGATATCAAAACATTTTGCAACAGTAAATTTCGATTTCAGAAAAATTAGGGTTTTCGAAATAGACTATTTCAAACTCTCTACATTATCAATGGTTATTTTCGAAAGTTTGATATGTCTGGATACTGTGATATGGGGGGGGGGGGGGGCGAAAAGTTTTTTCAAGTATCTGGAATGCTTCAATATTTTTGGTGACCCATTTTTTCTCTCTTTCGATAACAGGTTTCAGAATATTTAAAAAAGTTTAAAATTTTGAAAATTCCAGTATTATTCTGGTACAGAAAAGATTGAGCTATGGCAGAGAAACGCCGGTGGCCGTGGCCAAAGATCCCACAACGATAACTACCGTAACCTAAAAATATTTTTATTTTCAGGATTTATTTTTCTTGTTTTTACCATATTTGTAATCCGGGCCTTTGCCGGGCCTTCGCGGGCCCTGCCATAACTTCTTTAAAAATCAATGTTTTCGAACCAACTCAATCAGGTATGAAAGAGCTCCGCCCGGGCCTGCCGGGCCTTGCGAGAAAAGCCACTTTATGATCTGTAACTCTGTTCATAGACAAGATGCAGTATTCCAAATAATACCGTTTTGTAGTACTCGTGGAGCTCTATCATATCTGATTTAGTGGGTTCGAAAATATGGATTCTGAAAGAAATTATGGCAGGGCGCGCGAAGGCCCGGCAAAGGCCCGGATTACAAGTATGGTTTTTACTGATTTAGTTGTCTGTTAATTTTCCCCAATGAAGTCGTAAGAAGTCGAGAAAACAAATCCTGAGAATAAATATATTTTTAAGTTACGGCAGGTGTCGTTGTGGGATCTTTGGCCACGGCTTCCATAGCTCCGGTTTTTTTGTAGCAGAGTAAAACTCAACAAATAACTCGTCACGGGCCTACTGATTCCGAAAAAATTGATTGAAACATCATACATTTTGCAACAGTAAAATTTGAACATTTTGAAAAATCGAGGTCACCGAAATCGACTGTTTCAACTGCTCTACATTAACTATGGTTTTTTTAAGTTTGCTGTACGACTTATATCTACACACTTCTTAAGAATTCCTGAAACGTTTCAGTAAATTTTTGAAGACTCATATTCGACACGAATTAATTTTTTCTCCTAAAAACCGTAATCATGTTTTTGATGTTTCTTTTTTTTTCTCTCGTTCGAGAACATGTTTCAGAAAGTTTGTAAATTCGGATAATCGAAACAGTGTTTTTTTTATTGTTGACCACTAGAACTTGGATTATAAAATCTTTAACCATTTAACCATCGCACTCTCAATTCACAAAAATTTTCTCTAGTTTTGATCCCCCTTCTCCTCTTCTCCCACTTTTAATCGTCAGATTGATTCAATATTTTAACAAAACTCCGACACACACACAGAATCTCTATATCTTATCCCAACAATTACATCAATAAACAATTCAACTAATGACATGTGCAGTGAGGAGAAGGACCCGTGTAGTCCGTCATAGACAATAATTGATGATACTTAATCCATCAGGCATGTGTCCATCGGATTTCAAGTACCTTCCCCCATCCCCCATCAGCAACTCACTTGATAGATGACTCTTCCGGGCGACCACCACTAACCAGCTGTGTCAAATTGAATGTATGACAGAATGAGTGTTCCGCAAGAGCGCCGACAGTACCTGGAAAAATAAAAAAGTGATTGAGAAGAGAACTGGAGCACATGCCCTAATAAACTTCCAAATAAAAACCGAAGAATATTTGTTCAATTTGAAACAGCGATAAAATGAAACTCTTTCGAATAGGTTTTTTTCAGAAAGTACAGTTATTGGGATCTTAGCTCTTTTTGGAGATGGGTATACTTACAACTCGTATACCCTTTCAGTTCATCGAAAATCTCTGATAGGCAAAACATTGTCATTGCTTCAAAATGTTTAGAAAGTATGTAGATTGACATAGCAACAAAGAAAAAAATCAGAAAAGTTTTTAAAACCTCTAAAAGGCAAAAATATCCATTTCTAGAAACATCTTGAAGGAGCTTTTCAATTAGCGCTAAAACTGGAAATTCCAGGCCATCTCTAGAAAAGCGGCGAAATGGTAATAAAATGGGAGTTTTCAGTTTTGACGGGAATTTTGAAAAAAGATCCCAGAACCTTCTAGAAGGTTCCAGAGACTTTTTCGCCATTTGAAGCGAATGTTTTGAGGGTTTTAAACGTTTTTTGCAACTTTTTAGTATCATTCGAAAGCATGATCTTTTATGAACATTTTCAGGATTATATCCTACCACCGAGTTTTGCAAAGTTTTATATTTAAAAATATTGGGAAACAGAGATATTTCCTGTTTCAGGATTACCATCTTATTTCATACAATAAGTTCCAAATTGGTGCTGTTCTGCTTGTCTCAACCTAACTCAAGTTTTTCTAAATGATGTCCTGTTTCAGTGACTCCATACAAATATTTTGACTTTCCTGTAGCAATACGTACGCGTTCCTATAACCATTCTTATAAAAAAATAAATGAAGTTGTGTCTCTTTCTCTGTCTCGCGGCGAACAGGCAAATTTATGTAAAATGCAGATTAGAGGAACTACGGAAATCATTTTCTCTGTTTCTTAATCTTTTAAATTTACCGTTCCAGATTTTCAGAGTTACTCCTACGCTTGACCATCCCACCAACCCCTCACCACCTCTCGAAAATATTTCCCAAATTCTCACTTTGTGTCTAATTTGCAAAACCGAGTGGTGACTATGTGTTGCCTTCTGAGTTGTTGATACTTTTTGTTTTCCCACACACTTTCTCTTTCGAATAACAAGGCATGATGAGTACAAGTGAAATGAGCTCTCTGCCGTGGGGCTCTTTTTCGTGTTGCCAAACACTAACGAACTAATAATTTCTCACGCTAACGCCTTTTTCGAGAAAAGAGGAAGAAAGGTTTCGGTCATTAGTAAAGTGAGACAAAAATATGTATGTCAAATGTCAAGACAGAAAATTGGGAAACGAAGATATAGTGCACTTTCAATGAGATGGTTGAGAATGGCTAGTAAGTAGAAAAATGTAAATCTAAAAGTTTCCAAGGTTCAATTTAAGTTTTGAAAAGTTGGATGATATTGCTACTGGACAAGTATTGTGACCCAGGACATAAAAAAATTTTGTCTCAAAAAGAAGAAAAGTATCAATTGTGAAAGAAAACACAACTAGCCGTGGCCAACGGCCTCGAAGTGAAAACTATCGTAACCCGAGAAGAATTTGGTTTTCCGGACTTTTCAACTCTATGATCGTCGGAAAACGAACAAAAATCGGAGGAAAAATTCCGGGGAAATAAAAAAGTTATGAGGTTACAATAGTTTTCATTCTGATTTCGTTTTTCCACCGATCTCCCAATTTTTTATACAAAAGAAATATGAACATTTTTCTTATTCTGAAACATGAAATCTTAGATATCGTATAAAAGTTGTTGAACATAAATTCCTCAATACTGAAAAAGAATCTAGAAATGTCAATCAACACATTAAGCACATCAAAAATTACAGAATCGATTAAAATTTTACAAGACATTGAAACAGGGATATTTCTTATTCCCTATCATTTTGAAGAAACTTTCTTTGAAGTTTTTCACAGTCTTGAAATACAAAAAATTCCAGTTTTGGGATTTTTAAATACCGTAGACGCTTAAGTAGAAGCTCACACTGTTCTTCCTCTTTGAGCTCAATTATCTCGGTTCCTTCGACAGATATCAAAAATTTGTCTACTGATAAATTGTTGGCGATATTATGATTAACATTTTATCAGTTGGCAGATTTTGATAGCTCCTGTAAAAACCGAGATAATTGAGCTCAAAAAATTAGTATAGTGTGAGCTTCTATTAGATTTAACGGTACATTCAGTTTTTCAAAGGTCTGAAAAATCATAATAGCTAATCACATCGTAAAGAAAACCTTTTGGTATTACTGTAACATCAAACAGTTTCTTCTGAAAAATTGCAAAATTTCAGATTTTTTTTTCTGTTTCACCTGTACCTCTTGCCACGAAGGAATTTTCGTTTTTGTTGATCCCTCGGTAGTTATATTAAAAACTACTCACCAGTTCTATTAAATCCAAAAAGAAGTACCGATCCCCAGCATCCTCGTATATATCCCCGAGCACCGGTTCCTGAAACATCATTGTTGTATCTTTTTCTCGATTTTCACTATTTCCACTACGACGAGACCCCCTTTCCTACATTTTGCTTCTCCGGATGTCCTGAACTCAATTCGATCTATCCAAGATCTAGCCAATTTGAGTCCCTTGAAAGTTCCCCCGACTCTTCTTTTTACTTGAAGAAAGAAAACAAAAACGTTTTTGATACAAAAAATGCTGCTGTGGTCTTGAGGTCAATGGATATCAGGTTTTCATCATGAGGATTGACACATTTCACGAACATTTTTGACACATTTTGATGACCGTTAGTGTGAAAAATGTTTGAAGTTAGTTTGAAAAGTGGGAAAAAGGTGAATAATCGTTTTCATGATTTAGAAGAGTCAGGATTATCGACTTTCGGAAACTACCGGAAACTACATGTTAGCGAAAAATTGCAAGATCATCAAAAACTACAAAATATTTTTAACATTGTGAAACCGAAAAAAGTGCCTACTCACCAATTTTGAGTTCTTCAATCAGTGTAACACAATTCGCCTTTTCTTCACAGTAGGTTGATGGAACATCGGCTCCACGAGCCTGGGGATCTCTGAAATATAACCGTACTACGTGATAAACAAATTAGAGCTAACATTTCGACTATCTACTGGATTTTCCTATCGTATTTGCTCTAATAGAAGCCCATCATAAACAATCACTTTGAGCTCAATTATCTCGATTACCATAAGTTATATCAAAAATCTGTCAACAAATAATATATTGGTAATCTTCCTTATTAATAAAACGCTAGAGGCCTGTCCCGTTGTCTGTCCCGTTGTCAATCTGACAAAAAATTGAAAAATACATATATATATTTACGTGACCCTTTTAGAAAAAGTGAGAAACGAAGTGACGAAAATTTTTTTAAAAATAGATTGAATCGCGTCGAATTGCTGGTAGTATGATAAATAATTTATCAATTGACAAGTTTTTCATATCGGTCACATGAGTCGAGTTAATTGAGCTCAAAGTTGACAGTGTGAGGGCTCTTCAGTTAGAGGTTTTAAAATAAATACGTGATATTCCGGGACTGAAAAACCTTTGAAAATTAGCTTTGAAATCTCAAAAATAGTCGATTTCTGGAAACTTTTCGAAGTTCTTCTCAAAAAATAGATTTTTAGTTTTTCTTGTGATTCAACAAATTGCTGTGAAGTTGCAGAGCTTCCGGAATATTTTTCATTGAAAATGTGCAGAAATTTTTAATTTGAAACAACATAATTTTGAGAATGGCCTTCTTAAAATTTTTTACTATTTAGCAAAATACGATTAGTGCTCTGGAAATTATCAAAATAGTAAAACAGGAAAATTTCAGATTTTTTCAGTCCGAACATTTGTAGATTTCAAGTATAAAAATTAAAATCTCTTTCTCAAAAAGTTGAGAAAAAGTGTTAATTTTGACAAAATTTCACACTATTTCCAGAACAAAAATTGAAGTTTCAAAGCTTTCATAAATTTTCCCATACTTTCTGCCCTGCTCAGTTAATTTTCTTCAAAAGTACTAACCTGCAATGATCCGTAAAAGCCCTCGGCTCCTGATATATCCTTGAATATCCGGCAAACTGCCACGTTGCACCGTAGTACCTTGACATACAACTGTAGCATCGTTGTGAAGAGGATGAAGAAGAAGAGGATCCAGAAGACGATGAGCCTAGAATCAGACGAGTAGAAACGGGTTCGAGTCGGGAGAAAGTGGTACTGTAGGCTTGAATCGGTGGCGGTGGATGGAGGTAGAAAAGAAGGAGAAGTGATGACGTCATCATCCGGAACAATACACGGAGCACACGCATTGCCAGAACATAGCTTATTCGAGAAGATAGAACATTTTATGGTCCTGGATTTTTTTGGGGGAAGGGAAAGGCGAGTGGGGTTTCTGAAATTATCAATTGAAAGGTATAACGAAGAGATCAAAAAAGAGAAAGAAAGGGTGTTGTTATGAGGTGGTAGGGAGACATCAGAGGAATAGAGAATTTAAAATTCTCTTGGCTAACACAATTTTTTTCTGGGAAGAAGATGAGGCGAAATTTTGGGAGCACATTTCGGATGGACGCTGTGTGTTATTTAGATGATGAAGTGGGGTTAGACGAAGAGGGTACAAACAACAACAACGAATTTGGTAGAAAGAAGAAGAAGAACACTTTCTGACTTTTGCCTTTTGAAAAACTGGTCACGTTCCAGACAATTGTTTACAGTTTCAGGTTATTTTTAAATCCAGTGGTTTTCTAGTTTAGGAGCTGAACCATGTGTAGAAGCTATAACAGACTTTCCTGTTTAGTCTCAAAATTTTGAATGTTTTTCCCCTTGAAATTTTTGATTTTACGCTCATTTTTCATAGTCGGTCAGTTGCTTACTTTTTTAAGATTTGCGCATACCGTATTTTCTTTAATAGCCACCCACCCAGACCGTCAACTTTGAGCTCAATTATTAGAGAGCGTTCCTATTAGAGATGAAAATTTTGTCAATTGATAATATAATTGTGATATTATGATTTAAAAAAATCATCAGTTGACAAGTTTTGGGTTTCTTATGAAGGAACCGAGATAATTGAGCTCAAAGTGGAAGGTTTCAATAAGTTTCTGTTTTGTAGAGCAAATACGGTATCTATTTACTGGTATGTTCATTCTAGAATTCATAGCCAAAGAATATTTTTTCAACTGCTTCAGAAGGTTTTGTACAAGTTTCTGGATTACGGTAGAAGCCAAAAAGAATGTCCGAGTTTTCTGAACATGGAAGGATCTCTAAAAAAGGTTTTAAATATCCTTTGTTTCGAAATTCCAAATTTCCCGAACATTTTTATTTTCACAAAATGCATTTTTCGGCAATACTTCCTTCTTTCAGCTTTTATTGTTTGGACATTCACTAGAAAATTCTAGAAAGCTTCATTGTTTTTCAGGATTAGAAAATTTCGAAAAAAAAATCAATTTTGAAACAGTCTGTACTAACTATGGTCCTTTGTAAACTTGAACCCATTGTCGTATACTTTTTGAGTATCTTATCCTTTTCTCTCTTCTCTTCTTTCCCAAGAGAGGGTTCCAAAGAGCAAGAAGAAGGTGACTGGAAAAAATAAAGAAACAATAGGTGTGAGTGACATGGTGAATAATTGAAGAAGAAGAAGAAAAAGAAGACGGAAAGAGACTTCTTGGCACCTCGTTTCTCTCGGCATTTGTGCTGTTGGGTTGAAAAAAGAAGGAGGAGAAGGAGGTCATTCGAGAATTTTGACGACACGGACCTTTTGGATTTTCGGGGAGGAGGGAGGAAAAGGAAGAAAAACGTGAAAGTCATTATTTTTAGGTTGACTAGAAGCACCTGAGAGGTCAATTTTCGAATTAATCTTATGGTTTTGTTCTTTTTTGTTCTCGACGTTTGGACTCGAACACAATGCCTTGGGTCTGACCAGAGTGGAGGGCGTCAGAGAATATTTTAAAAATGGGTATATACTTGTATAACTTTTCTTTTCAACTCATCTCATAACTAAATAACGGTAAAGGTTAATCATTATTGTTAATAAGAGAATATTGAAACTGTGGAAAAAAAACTTCCAGCTTTTTTTTTGAGAGTTGCCGTAAAGCATTACTAGCACTTTGAGCTCAATTATCTCGGTTTATATGAGAGATATCTAAAATCAGTTAACTGAGAAAATGTTTGTGATTATCAGAGATGTCCGGAATGAATTTTTTGAGAAACGGAATCCGGAATCCGGAATAAAATAATTTTCTCGGAATCCGGAATCCGGAATCCGGACAAATAAAAATTTCACGAAATCCGGAATCCGGAATGAAAAAAAAACCCGGAATCCGGAATACGGAATACGGTATCCGGAATTTTGAGTTCTCCAAATGGGCAGAAAAGTTCTAAAACACACATATCGTGCTTTATTTTTGCGTTTTTAGTAGCGGAAGTTCAAAAAAGTCAGAGTATTCTTGAAAATTACCTAATATGTTTAAAATCCGGAATAAACATTTTTCTCGGAATCCGGAATCCGGAATCCGGACAAATGAAAATTTTCCGGAATCCGGACATCTCTGGTGATTATACCACTGATATTTTGTAGTTGGCAGAATTTTGATTTTTTTACAGAAATCGAGATGACTAATAGCGAGCCTAAGGATTGGGCAGTGTTCCATTAGAAAACTTTTGTTGACTGTTACAGTAATCATGATTTAAAGAAAAAGGTATTAAAAATGATAATTCCGAACATTTCGAATATTCCTGAATCCCGAATTTTCTGAAGTTCTAGTTCTCGAAAATTTAGAATACACCGCTGTTCTGAGTTATAAATATCCTAATGTTCTCACATTAAAATATTTTAAAGTTAATTTTGTATCCCTGGAAAATACACATCATTGTCGAACTGATGAATCGATCAAACAAAAAACTAATCGAATATTTGAAGATCTGGAAACGGTGAAAGTTGGAAACTTTAAAAAAAAAAGAAAGAGAGAGAGAGAGTGAGAGAGTGAGAGAGAGAGGAACCACCCGGGCCATAGGACCGGGTCCTGGAAATTCCCGACCAGGTCCGTGGGCCAGCCAAGATTTTCAAGCATGTTGTTTCAAGAGCAGTAATAAGTTCTGCTGAATTTTTTTCAATTGTACCGAAAAATACTTTGAATGATTTTTGTAGGTTTTGAAATGATTATCAGTTTTTCGAAACGATTACTTCAATTGAGCTACAATTTCACCAGTTCTCGAAATTTCGACTTCCAAACAGAACCAAGAAAAGATAAAAAACTCGTAATCCACTAAATGCCTCTGATGAATCAGAAGCTGTTATTTTGTTCTTTCTTGTTCATTCATTTTTCTCTTCTGATCTATAACTACTAGAAAATGTGTCTACGAAAGAAAAGTGTTTGAAAAAGAAAAGAAATTGGGTTGAATAATCTGCGGAAACCCCGAAAAGACATCCGGACAAAACACATAAGGTGAACATGTGGTAAAGAAAAGATAGAAAACTAAAAAGAAATTAAAAATTATAAAACTAAAGCTGTTCAATCCCCCCCCCCTTTCTCTACGAAAAATCATGAAATGAAATCACTCCGCCCACTTGCTCCAAAAAAAGTGGGCGGAGTCCTGAGTAGTTTCTTCATAAAAAAGAAGAAGAGAAAGAAGAAGAAGGAGGAAAAGGAGAAGAAGAACAAAAAAGAATGGGTAAACTTATTCTCAAGTGAGAAGAAGACGAAGAAGAGGTGGTATATGCTGGAAAAAAGAAGAAGAAAACAGAAAAAAGAAAGGAATCCACGTGGGAAAAAAGGTGTGGGCTTCAAGGTGCCGGAGGTGTAATTGGACAGAAAACAGAGCGAAAAGAAATGAGAGGAGAAACATTTTTCGGGAGAAATGTGGTGATTTGGTAAAAACCTGGCGGAAAAGAATTGCTGCAAAAAAATTTAGAAATTATATGGAGTCACAGAAACAGGATAGAAATACAGTCAAATCTAAGAATTTGAATTGAAATTTTCTGATTTTTTTTTCCGTTTTGAGAATTCCTTAAGTTTTGAAAATACATCGCTTCTATCAGTCTGTTACTTGTTCCTCTTCATCAAACTTTCAGCAAGTACCTACAACACCTTTGATAACTTCAAAATTAATCGTTAACTTGGCTCCGGGACGTTTCGCAGCGAGACGATTCGCAGCTGAGTCGTTTCGCAGCTCGGACGTTTCGCAGCCAGCCATTTCGCAGCGCGCGTTTCGCAGCTAGGACGTTTCGCAGCCGCGCGTTTCGCAGCCATGGGAGTTTCGCAGCCGCTATTGTCTCAAATCGAGAAATCTCAGGCTTGAAGTATATTTTTCTTGTATTTTTTTGCTTAATTATCTGTTATTTTCCATTCTTAATCACATTCATCAACTTCGAGGCATCGATTTTCTAATAGCTATCAGAAATACACATAATAACATTTTTGTGTTATTTTTTCAATTATTTTCTCTAAATATGTTTATTTCAAGCCTGAGATTTCTCGATTTGAGACAATAGCGGCTGTGAAACGTCCTGGCTGCGAAACGCGCGGCTGCGAAACGTCCTAGCTGCGAAACGCGCGCTGCGAAATGGCTGGCTGCGAAACGTCTGAGCTGCGAAACGACGACTCAGCCGCGAATCGTCTCGCTACGAAACGTCCCGGAGCCGTTAACTTCAACCATACTTTTCACAGTTCCTGTGAAAGATATCAAAGTTTGGTCAACTGACAACATATTTTAGACGTTATGATCAACATTTTACTAGTTTAAAACTTTTGATATCTCCCATAGGAAATGAGGAAAATTGGCATAACGTTAACGGTTAGGATTCGTTCTTCCAGAAGTATTAAGCTATTCACACGAAATAAATATTTATGGAGTTCCTCTCCTACTACAAAAGATTGCAATGTGAAATGAAATTGTAATTTTATAGTGACCAGTGTGTGCTATCGGTACGGTTTCGGTAAAATTACCGGTAAATTTACTATTAACTTACCGGGAATTTACGGGTAGATTACCGGTACAATTACCGGTAATTTACCGGTAAATTTACCGGAAACTACTGGTAATTTCTAGGAAAATTTCTGTTTTTTTATTCAAAATTTGTAACCGCGACGATTTAGAACCGCGACGATTTAGAACTGCGGCGTTTTGTAACCGCGAAATTTTAGAACCGCGAAGTTTCAGAACCGCGACATTTTAGAACTGCGACATTTTAGAACCGCGACATTTTAGAACTACGGCATTTTAGAACTGCGACATTTTAGAACCGCGACATTTTAGAACTGCGACATTTTATAACCGCGACATTTTAGGACCGAGAACTTTTAGAACTGACCATTTC